TTTGTTGGGTAGGAGAGGCCCCATTTTATAGCTGCGGGAAACTATCCTTTCCCAAGAAACCCTAATGGTTTCTTTCCAATTTGGCCAAGCTTTTCCTTCCTTTCTCCTCTCCTCCCTTGACTTTCCTATCTCAGTGAAATTGCCTCTATCTATTTGCACGAAATTAGGATTTTTAGGAGCTCAAGGCCTCCCTTTCCTGCAGCAGCTTCAGTGGGAGACTCCCACTTTCAGCTATTTTTCTTCTTCTTTCATTTCCCCTTCCATGGCTAGATCTGATGAGGGAAAGGAAGTGGATATACATGCTGGTCCAAAGGGTGCTTCTGGCAGCTCGCAGGCTAATACTCCTTGGTTCCTTGAATATTTCTTGCTTGGAACTTGCTCCCAGCAGCCACTCACGTGTAGATTTCCAACGTTCCTTTGTGGTTTTGTCTCCAAACTGAGTGCCAGGGCTTGAGCTGGTTTTATCCTAATTATATTGGCTTTTGGGACAACCACAAAATCTATCCAATGGATGGGATGGCTTTGTCAAAGGTTGGGCTTTTTGGTTAGTTTGTTCTAATTGGATCAGTGGGCTTATTTTGGCTAGTTTATTCTAATTGGGTCAATGGGCTTATTTTGGTTGAGGCAATGGTCCATCTCCTTTCTTGTGCTTACCCATGTTTGGGCCTAAGAAAATGGGCTTGAGTCCCGAGGCCCCCAAGTGACCCGAGACTTCCATTTCTCGACCCATCGATGGGCCCCATGATAACTTGTCACCATCCATACCACAACCCACTCAAGCAAGCCCCGGGCATTTGAGTGGCTTGGGCCCACTTAAGCTTGTAGCGCGACGTGTTGCTTATTTGCTTGGCGTGGCATGTGTGCAAGCACGTATGACGAACTTTCGCGTGCCCTAATCGGGCTTCTCCTCAGTAAGGTATTGCATTTGGCCGAGAATTTATTTTGGCCGAACCGTGGATTTTTTTGGGCCTCAACAATGGGAAAGGAGGCTTGGGGATGGGAAATCAATTACTTTCCCATGTTTGGTAAGTCCAAGCATAAAAAGTAGGGGGAAAGTGAAGCCCTCCTCCCCCTTTGGTTTTGTTTTTCCTCCTCATGGGGAAGTTTGGGAAAATGAGCATTAAATGCATATTTTTCATGACTATTTTGTCCCCGTTAACAATTTAGAATGACAATATATATCATTCAATGCATTCTTTTTTTTATTTGATTTAATATAGGTATAATTGGAAAATTATACAAACTTTATTTTCCATTCCTACTCAAAACAAACATGAGAAAGGAAATAAAATGATATCTCCCGGTTACTTTTCTAGCATTTTCAAACATGAGAAAAGAATCTTCATTTCCCATCCATTGGGAAGTGACATGAAAAGTAATTTTCCCTCAAATTCGTTTCGTGAACCAAACATGACCTAATATTTACAAGGTGCCTGTGGGGAGAGTTCGAAATTTGAAATTTACATTTATACACTTTCTAAGTTTTGTACTTGAAATTTGAAACAAACACCTAAATGCTTCTTATTCTTATTATTTTATGAAAAGAAAATCGTCAACCTAACAACTTTAACAGTATGACACACATAACCAACATCGCAACCACCATTCTAATTTCTAAATCACTAACATCACAACAACATTCAACATTCAATCAAGTGATAAAATTAACAATCTAAGATATTAAAGGTTCACATCAATGTGTGAGATGAAACGCAATAGTTAATGAAATTAGAATATATAGTCAGTTTGCCCACCTCTAGTTATTACCTTAATCCATGGAGCAACATCATATATTCCAAAAGGAATTAAACAAAAACGCAAGCAGAAATACTAAATACCACATCTTGTTTTTTTTTTTTTAAATGTAAAGAACAAAGACTAACTTTAATTTCATGCCAAGAGACACAAGGCGTTGAACAACTGACCATAATCGATAATTTTCTATAGCTTTGCCCAATGTGTCCGGCACATTCAATAATTAATACTTTCCCATGATAAATGTGTGCAACAAATTGATTATTAAAACAACATAAACTGACGTTTGCTAATTGTAAACGGCTGTGAAACGCATCTCGTACTATACGAACATTTTCACCCCATTGTGTCATGGTAAAGAGCAAGTAAGGGCAAACATTATTCACGTGAATAGTGAATGCCATAGTAATTTTTTGATGCATTCTCACCCATTGCCATGGCAACCCAAGGGCAACCACTATTTACATAAGATATGAGGAGAGGAATTTGTATGTATTTTGGTGTGGGAAGTAAAAAACATGGCTAGGTATTAATTAAAAAAAATTCTGAATTTTTGGTATTTAGATTGGCCACTAATGGCAGCATGATGTCAGTTTGCCCAGACAACAGCCTGGGTAAGTCTTGCCTTTGGGCTTGCCCAATTTCACGGGCCCACATCTTGCCATGGCAACTTTTTCTTTGTGGTGTTTGTTTTTAGAGCTTAGACCCCCTTTTACCGGGGAAGGGTGGAAGTGCTCTAATAGCAGTGGTGACCATTTCCCTAAGGTATCTAACTGTAGCATGCTAAAAGAAAAGGAAAAAACAAAACAAAATGGAGCTTACATTTCACCCTAATTATATAAACTAAAAAACAAAATGGAGTTTTACATTTCACCCATAATTTTTTGGTATTTAAATTAGCCGCTAATATTAGCATGATGTCAGTTTGTCCAAGTAGTAGCCTGGGCAAGTCTTACTTTCGGGCTTACCCAATTTTGTGAGCCCACATCTTGCCATGGCAACTTTTTCTTTGTGGGGATTGTTTTTGGAGCCCAGACTCCCTTCTACGGGGGAGGGGTGGAAGTGCTCTAATAGCGGTGATGACCATTTCCGTAAGGTATCTTAACTGTAGCACGCTAAAAGAAAAAGGAACAAAAAACAAAATGGCGTTTACATTTCACCCCTAATTATATAAACTTGCAAATTGTACGAAACAAACAAATGGAGACTACGAGAAACATTTATTAAATATCAGCATATTCGTCATAGAAAGTAACAATTTTGGTCACACAACGCAACTAATGTCTAAATACTGGTGGTCCCTAGAAGCTGGTTACAAATCTATTCCGTGGTCATCATCCCCAAATAGTGGTCACTAAACTACAAACAATTAGTAACTTTCTCTTTTCAATCACTCATGAAAATGGTATTAGTCAACACGAGTTTAATCACTAAAATTAATTTTTTTTAGCACAAGCAATAGTCTAAACTAAAAGGATCATTAACGCGCAATTTGATCATTGAAACATGAGTGACTAAAAGGATTAGCCCCTACTTGCCATTACACAAGTTTGCTATAAACACTTCTCCCAATCAAATTTCTAAAGGGTTAGGACATTTACCTGAGCTGTTAATCACCTACGTTAATTATAAACACAAATTGGATTGGCTTTGCCTCAATCTCGAAATATGACACGACTTGCTAATTTCATCAAGGGCCTCAAGCAATCGGGAGAGAATTTCCTCGCAAACAAGTAGGAATAGCTTGAATTGGACTTCCTCAAGTTATGCACGAGCTGTGCAGAAATTTCAGGAGCCTCATATGTGTAGGGATGCCCGTCCGTACTGTCAGTCCAATTCACTCTAGTAAGTGTGTAGTGGCTACAACCTTTGGGGTCCTCCATGGACAGAAGTGTTGGGAAGTAATGCTCCTCAGGGTAGCAAGAGTAGACGTTCAAGCAAGGGAGCTTAAATTTCCTCCAAAGTCTCTTGTCCTGGATCACGAGCAACGAGTGCCGCTTGGTCAAGATATAAAACTGAGATCCAACCCTGAATTGCTCGAAAGGCACTTCCGGGAGCATCACATTGTCTCCCCGAGCAACGTAGCGCTCGGGGAGGTTGGGATCATCGGAGAGGATTTCGATGAAACTTTGGTGATTTGATTGGGTGGCAAAATCTCTTAAAGCGGCGAGTTCGCTGCCAAAGAGGGTTTTGTAGACGAAGGGAAAAGAGTGCAGTGGGATACAGTGTTGGGACACTAGGGCAAAGTATAGGTTTAATGGATCGTCCAGAATGGCGTTGGCGAGGAGTCTACGCGCCGCGGAGACGAGCGTGGGGGAGCCCCGCTCGGTCTTCTTTGCCCGGACGAAGCGGCCTTCGAATACGCCGCCGGGAGGAGTGATCTGGACCGTTGGATCGGCATGGATGTAGATGTTGAAGAGGTGTTGGTGGCCATGGAAGAACTTCTCCCATAAAGGGGCAAAAGAGAGGTCTGAGTTTGTGAGGAAGAGGAAGGCGATTTTGGGTTTAGGGTTTGTGGTGGTGCCCAAGTGGGAGATAGAGGAAGAAGATGTACGATGATGATGAGAGGAAGAAGCAAGTATGGCTTTGTGGAACAAAGCGACGTCGTCAAGCTCATCTGGAGACAGTGAGATTTGAAGGTCTGTGAGGAGGAGGATTCTTGGGGCGATGAGAAAGAGGAGAGGGAGAAATATGAGTAGAGACAAGGCTGGGATTAAAGGAGAGGAGAACATTTTGGGTTTTGGTTTTGGATGAAATTATTAAAACCTAGATTTATGGAATTGGGGGATTGAAATTGTGCAGAAAAAAATAAGAAAGGGAATATTTAGGGCTTAAGTCGACGATAATGTTTTAGTAATTATTGTAGTTGGTGAGGGTGGTGATGGTGGTGGTGGTGATGGTGAGAGAGGGAGGACATCTTTTTGAAAAGTGGGCTGAAAAGAAAGGGGTTGAGGATTGGAAGAGAGGGAAAGGGATGGATGGATGGATTTGAGTATATGCTTCTTAAAGTGCAAATGATCAAAGAAAAAAAAGTGGAGTGGGATGAGAGAATAGGGTTTTGTAGTCAAAGAAAAAGATTGAGGTTTTTCTTTTTTAATTAATTATGGGGGGATTGGACGGTTGGTGGGTTCTGGGGGTGGGGGCTGTTTGATGCTTCAATCGATTGGGAGTGGAATCATAATTCATGAGTGATCCTTTGCATTACAAAAAGGCGATCGGGGTGGTTTTATCTTCTTTTTTTTTGTTTTTTTTTTTGGTCATTTGTTACAAAAATTTCCAATACGTGTGTCTATTATTCGGTTTTTAAGCAATCCAAAGAAGCACAAAACTGTATAGCGTTTGTAACTCAAGTTGTTAAGAGTATTTATCCTTAAATCTTGCCCTACATTTAGTACTTCCTTTACCGAGATTGAAGTCCGAAAAGACCTTGTTGGTTATGACTATAGAAAAGAATGGAATTGATTAAGGCACCACATGTGCATCCACCACTGATGGAAAGTTTTTCACCAAGGGGAGTGTATAATAATATGGTTTTATTTTAGGTTGTATTTGTGATTAGTCTTTGGATGTCAATTTATAGAATGAATTTTTTCATTTACTATCAACTTTCAAGTCATTTCTTGAACCGACCCATGCATACAATATCTTAGTCTAGTCATGTGTGTGCAGTTGTGTCTTTTATAAAATCAAGCCCACTCAATTTTCTGTCTTTAATTTCATTTAGAGTATTGTTAAACGAACCCTAAAATTCACTGAGTACACCATACTATCAAACTATTTATTGAATTACTAATTTACCCTAATATAAAATGACTAAAAATGATATATTGAATTGTCAAACAAATGTAATTTTAATAAGTGCACCTTACTCACTGTAGGGGCTTTTTCGTTCCGGCAGCTCCTGCGAGCCTGGGCTGCCGTAAGGAGAAAACTAAAGAAAATATCCCCCTTCTGTCTGAGTTCAAAGATCAGACCCCAAAATGTTTCGAAATGGTTGTAAAGCCTTAGGAAACACCTTGGTTACCTTCACCAACGAAAATAATGGCTGCTTACAGATAAATTTTTGGCTTGGCATGAGAAGCTTGTGGCATGGGAGCAAAATCGACATGAGTTTAGCACCGGAGAGAAAATTATGCGTACTTGGGGGAAAATGGAAGTGTTAAGGTAAGAAAGGGAAGGTTTGCAAGAAGATTTGGCTGAGAAAGGAGGGAGAGAAAGGGATGGGTAGCTTGATTGTTTCTTCTGGCAGCTTGACAGAGACTCTGTCAAGTGTTGGAACAATCTACCAGAAGAAGAAAAATGGGGAAGATGGGCAAGCAAAGCACGAAATTACTGAGTTTTGCATGTGAGAGAGGAAGCTTGCTCTCCAGATGTGTGTTGTGATGATGGGTAGGAAATGCCTCTTTTTATAGGCGCTGGAAGCTACCATTTTTCAAGAAACCCTAATGGCTTCTATCTAATTTGGCCAAGTCTTTCCCTTCATTTCTCCCTTCATCCCTTCAATAATCCTATTTTAGTGAAATTCACTCTGCCCATTTGCACAAAATCAGGGATTTTTGGGAGCAAGACCCTTTCCTGCAGCTACCTCAGAACTCCCATTTTCAACCATCTCCTTCCTTTCCTTTCTTCCTTTTTTTATGGCCAGGTCTGATGAGGGAAAGAGAATGGGTATGCATGCTGGTTCAAATGGTGATCTGCGCTCTAATATCCCTTGGTCCTTTGGAAGTTTTTACTTGAAACTTTTTCCTCCCATGTGCTGGAACTTCCCAGCAACTCTGCATAGTGAACCTCCAGACTTTCCTTCATGGCTTTGTTCTTCAGCCAGGTGCTGGAGCTTTGCAGCTCTTCCATTGTAATTGTATAGGCCAAGTTGGTTTATTGAGTAAGTGGGCTATCTCTATCAAGCATTGGGCTTTTTTGGTTGAGTCAATAGGCTATTTTGGTTAGGATATTTTGGTTGGGATATTTTCTTTTTTGTGCTCACCCACATGTTTGGGCCTAAGAAATGGGCCTGAGTTTCGAGGCTCCCAAGCAACCCCGGGACTTCCATTTCTTGGGCCATCAATGGGCCTCATGTCAACTTATTACCATCCACACCACAACCCACTCAAGCAAGCCCCAGGCATCTTGCGTGGCTTGGGCCCACTTAAGCTTGTAGCGTGGCGTGTTGCTTATTTGTTTGGCGTGGCAAGTGTGCAAGCGCATATGACGAACTTTCGCGTGCCCAAATCGGGTTTCTTCTCGGTAAGGTATTGCATTGGGCCGAGAATTTATTTGGGCCGAACCGTGGATTTTTTGGGCCTCAACACTCACCATATCCAACCCTAATCGAATGTAAGCGAAAGGCACCAAAGGTTAAAGAGGTGTTCGGCCAGAAGCCACCAAAGGGTTAAAGAGGTGATTCGGCAGGAAGCTGCTTTGAAAATATTTTCAGGAAAAAGCACATAAAGAATTTGTTAAAAATATTAAACATTTAAAAAGTGGGAAAGGTATCCTAATCTATATTATGCAGATCTGGTTTTAAGTTAAAACCAGCCAACCCACCCCAGTACAAGAGATCTTTTGAAGACCACCTCGTGAAATTATGTTATAAACAAGATCACCAAATAAAATGGTTCTTTCTGAATTAAAGATGAGGGAGGGGGGAGGGGGGAGGGGGGATGGGGGGAGGGTGGGTGGTGAACTTAACCATTCCCTCTGAACTTTGACTCGTTATACCCCTACCTTATGTTCTTTTTAAAGTTCTTTTCATGAATTCAAGTATGAGACTTTTGATGCTTCAAATGTGAAGAACCCAGTTCAATCCTTGTTCATATTGAAAAAAGTAATATATATAGGAATTGATGGATTCTGAAGCAACTTGGAGCTGTGGAGAACTTTGATGAAAAATTAAAGTGAAAGGAATCCACATGTATATGGTTATAAATGCTCAAAACCAACAAAATGGGAAAGGAATATGTTATCCCAATATTCACTCATGACAAAGATGAAGATGAAAAAGATGAAAAATAGTGTTTTCGGCAGCAAGGTGGGTTTGGTGGTCTAATAGTGTTTGGCAATCGGCTCTTGAATAGTATTAGGGTGTTATGTGATAGTGCATTAGGGTGTACCAAGGGTATTTTTGGTAGCTAAATAGGGTGTACTTAGTTAACTTTATATTTTGATTAAAATATTAGGGTGTACTTAGATCATAAGATGTACTCAGTTAATTTTAGAGTTCGCTTTAGCAGCACCCTTTCATTTATTGATTGATTGCTTTATTTTTTAGCTTAAATTTAAAGCTTTTAGTTCAAATTTGGTCAATCGCTTGAAACTAAAATCGAAATACTAAAAGACTATTCCATATTTTATATAATAAATTCTGACAATAAAAGAGAGCAATTCCAGATATTAAAGTATAAGTGAGATTTTTGAAACGCATTCTTGGAGACAACATCCTGCAAAAAGAATTATCAAACAGAAATAGTAAAAAAAATCTGCTGCGAGTGATCTCAATTTGGCGGCAAAAGGACTTCGTCAATACGCAGAATACTGGAATGTCCAGTTTGAGACGGATTGCAGAGAAGGAGGTGCGTGGTATTAGTGGGAACATTGGGAGAGGCAGGTGGGAGTCGTATATCCTCATTTGTGTAGAAAAGCAATTTTCAGACCGAAAAAATCATACGCAGATAAAAAATTCTTACCAGCTATAGGAACAAACAACAATTATAATTATGTATATATAAGTCACCATCCACATGACATAGAATAAGCATGTCCTTAATAGCTATTGCTCAACTTCCAAATCCCCGAAAGTCACGGATTCACAAACCAAACCAGAAATAAACACTAATAAACTACAACAGACCACAATGTTGAGAACTTTTTTATTTCTCAAATAATCTCATAAGCCTATCTAATCATTGCTGCGCGCATTGAACTCTCTGGGCACCACCAGGCATATCGTCATCCTCATCATAAGCCTCTTGCGCCTGTGCTTGCTTCCGACGCATTTCCTCCTCTATGTTCACATCATGCAGCGTAGTCTCCTCGCACTCATCCAGCTCCATGTCGGTAAGCTGTGCGGAAGACCTGGGAGGTAGCACAGCCTCCAGGCCCTTGCACTGTTCTGGGTTTAGTGAGTCGGGGAACTCCACTGTGAAATGAATATACAATTTACCTTTCATGAATGGTCTCTGGTACATTGGCATACCCTCATCATTTATAGCCTTGAATTGATCTGATAGACACCAAAAGAAATATAAATAAATAAAATTGGTGACAAATTCTCATGCGACAAATATTACCATGAAAACCTAGAATTCTCAAACCATATAGCACAAGAAGCTAAAGAAAATAAATAACCAATGCACAGCACGAATTTCATAATTGTTAATTGTATAACTGCATGGAAAATTACCAAGCACACACCTCAAAGAAAACTATTCACTAATAAGCCTCGTTACAAGACATACAGCATCAAGAATCTAGGATTTGAAAGAATAAATGGTCTAGAAGTAACATAAAAGTCTTGTGAGAACTGAAATAATTATTCCAGGCCCAAGAAATAGAGAAATGAAAGCTTGGCTACACAAGCATGTTTTTTGTTCTAATGTCTACAGAAGCATGTAAGCAATTAGGAAAGAGACAATTACAAACACGTAACTACTATCATTTTGGTCTGTAGCACATGATACCACCCCCACAAGTTATTCTTTCTTCCAATCACAAAATAACAATCCTAATCTTGACATGGTTCTTTAACAAGAAAGCAGCCCTGATCACAAGCCTAATATTTTGCTTAATCTCGCCATTTTTCTAATGAGTCTAATATTTAGGCTCAATTGTTTCTTTTACCAGAAAGCAGGCTAAATCTAGTCGCCTAAGTCCAGCTGACATTTGCAGGAGAGAGAGCGGCAAGAGACATTTATTTTATATGAATCCACAATCACAAGCAGTATGTCATCTGTCAGTTAAATTTAGGTCTTCTAGAACCCAATTCCACGAACCAGTGTATCATTTCTCTCCTTTTTTCGCTTAACATATAATTTTCCTTTTGAAATGTATTAAAGTACATACATATATATAACAGATAAAGTATTACGCATAACCCATAAAACGCCAATTCAAATCATCCTTCATTGGTCCAGGTCAATATGGCCCATCCATTTATTTCGACCTACCCCTAAGAAAGGTAGTATAGATAAAATCTGAGGAGAATGAGTTTGCCAATCATTCATATCAGCAATTAACCAGATGCACAAGTACAAGGCAAGGCAACTATTCAGAATGAGTAGAGTAATCTGATTACCTGGCTTAACAACTTCACCAGGTTGGGATTTGATGAGGAGCTGTCTTCCATCTAAATGTGTCAATACAAAGTGGAAGCCACAGAGTGCTTCCACGAGGGATAAGGTATGCTCAAAGAACAGGTCATCACCCTTTCGCTTAAACTTTGGGTGCTCTTTTTGTTGTAGGACAAAAACGATATCCCCTGTGATGGTGTCTGGCTGCAGAAGAAAAAAAAATAACATGCAAGGATCAATGACAATACCCTAGAGAACTGAAGTATAGAAGTACCAAATAACAAAGTCTCAAAAGATTTACAAAAAAAGAAACAATTTAGAATTTCGAATAATACAATCAAATGAAAGGAAGGAGACCTACCGCTTCATCAGCTTCGCCAGGGAATGTGATCCTCTGACCATTTTGCATACCCTTCTCCACAATGACTTCCAAGACTTTCTTTTCCTGAACAACCTTCTCACCCTTACATTGTGTGCAGCGATCCTTGTCATTAATGGTCTCCCCAGTACCTTTGCACTCATTGCAAGGATGCTGCATTTGCTGGATCATGGAGGGGCCGAGGTGTCTAATAGAGACTTTCATTCCAGAACCTTGGCACCCAGGACATTTCAAGGAAGCACCTGACTTTGACCCTTTACTGCATCATGTCATATAAAACCTCCATATTAGAACCATAAACTACTAAAATAAATCGCTGACAACATACAATTTTAGATATTAAATACTAACCCCCTGCACTTGGAGCAGATTATGTTGCGAGAGAGAGAAAGCTTCTTGGATGTGCCATTGTAGAGATCTTCCAAAGAAACCTTGAGGGGATGGATCACATCCTCTCCCCTTCTCTGCCTTCGGCCTCTGCTGCTTCCACCACCTGGGTACATAGGATCAAAATACTGAGTTCCAGTTCATACAATTACAAAGAGCTGAAATCGAAACGGAGAAAAGGACTCACCGCCAAATGGGCTTCCACCAAAGAAGGATTGGAAAATATCAAATGGGTCGTGACCACCACCTCCGCCACCCATTCCTTCTTTGAGCGCATCCTCGCCATATTGGTCATAGATCTCTCGTTTCTCTGGGTCACTCAGAACCTCGTATGCTTGGGCCAACTCTTTAAACTAAATTATGAAAAGAAATAGAAAAGGTTAGAAATCGATATATTAAGAAATTACCATCAAATTTATATGTTTCTGACAATTAAATACTAGCACAGCCACCTCCTCGGCTTTGGAATACAACTAAGTGCCCTAAGTGTCTAGAAACCCACATAAACGGCTGTTTACAGACGCACATATGCCCAACTGCCTAAAGACGCACCCGCGAGGAAAACTTCAGAAAACCCAATCGATCAATTGTTTCACCATGAAAAAAGAGAAGGTATTCATGTTACCTTAGAATTATTTGCAATATACTGAAATTATTAATAGTGACACAGTCAGAATTATTTAAAACAATTCAGTAATTTTTTTTCTTAGTATTCAGACGATTTTCAATAAATTCATAACAAAATTCACCACCAACTATATTCAAAGCTCAAATTTTTAGACTACAAATTTGTCAAGCTCAAAGCTCAAAAACATGCTAGATCTGGCGTAGCTTGACCAAGCAAATACCCGTCGACTCCATCAAGAAACTCATACACAACAAACTGATAAATCAGAAACCAACAAAACCATAACAGAGCTAAAAAGAAAGTAAAACCTTTTCAGGATCACCGCCCTTATCAGGATGGTTTTTGATGGCGGCTTTTCTGTAAGCCTTCTTTAGATCATCTTGCGAAGCGGTCTTCGACACTCCAAGGATCTCATAGTACTTCGTGTTATCGCTTTTCTTTGGAGCTCTCCCAAACATTCTCTCTTAAACAACTTAATCTGTTAATAAATACAAAAAATAAAACAACAAAAAACCATTAAATTTCAAAAAATGAAAACCCCAAAATAAATCGATCTCGAAATTGATGCAGAGAAAGAAAGATAGAAGGCTAACCGATCTTAGGTTGTACGGATAGCAAGATCCGATTAATTGAAGAGGTCGTGTGAAGGGAGCAGAGAAGAGCAAGAGAGACGGCGAGAGAGAGAGAAGAGCAAGTCTTGGTCAGATCTGAGTTTTAAGGCGAGGGAATGGACGGCTGGGATTGATTGTTAGAGAGCGTGGTAGCTAAGGGTTAGTATTGACATTGAGACCCGATTTATCGTGTATGGGTGGATGCGGGGGAGGAAGGATCTAGAATTCAGACCCCAAAAAGGAGAAAAGAAAAAAGGAAGGATCTAGAATGTTTGTTTGTTTGTTTTTTTATTTTTTTTATTTTGTGAAATATTTCATATACACTTAGAATATTTTTTTGAGAGATACTTAGAGCAACTCCACCCATTTGCCCTTAGAGCATTTCCAGCAGGGAGGGCAAGGCAAGAAGTGGGACCCAGCGAACTGGGCTGGGCCGAGGGCAAGTCTAGCCCTAGGTCCAAAACTCGGGCAAGCTGACATCATCGATGATGTCAGCACTACAGTGCATCGCTACAGTGCCGCGCACAGTACTCTCTGCCACGTGGCTGCTGCTGGGCTCTCCGATTCGATTTTTTCCAGCAATCCAACGGCGACGATTTTTTGTGCAATAAAAAATTGAAAAAAAGTCGAAAAAATGTTTTAAAAATTCTAAAAAAATACTGAATTTATTTTCTATAAATACCAACAAATACTCTTCACTTTTAAAAAAAATACCGAAAATCTTATCTGATATGAATAGTATTGACACGTAGGAACCCAAAAATCTTACCCGAAAATATTATCCAAAATAATTGTTTAAGTAAAAAAAGTTGTGAAAAAAACAAAAAAATGAATAGTAGTTGCCATGGCAAGGGTTTGACTGCTGGAAACACACATAGCTAAAAAAGGCAAGGGCAGGGACTATTCATGTGAATAGTGTCAGCCCTAGCCCCCCCTTTGCCATGGCAAGGGTTTGACTGCTGGAAATGCTCTTAGCCATGGACTATTCATGTGAATAGTAGTTGCCCTTGCAAATAGTATTTTGTGTTTCCACCCGTTGCCATGGCTAAGGGCAGTTACTATTCATTTTTTTGTTTTTTTCACAAATTTTTTTACCTCAATAATTAATTCGGATAATATTTTCGGACAATATTTTCGGATTCCTACGTGTCAAGACTATTCATAATTGGATAAAATTTCCGGATAAGATTTTTGTGTTCAAATTTCGGATGAATTTCAAAATTCAAATTTCAGATAAATTTGGGTTCAAATTTCAGATGAATTTCAAAATTCAAATTTCAGATAAATTTCAAATTTCAAATTTCAGATAAGATTTTCATCCAATCAAATCAAGCCACGTGGCATCTCTATCTAGCCAAAATTTTCTATAAATCCAGAGGCTAAGCTCATACCTCTCACACCACATCTTTCTATATTTTCATTTCTGAGAGTTTAGAATTCATACTCCATTCTCAAATGGAAGATTTTAGGAGATGCTTGGAGAGGCAAGAGCGAGAAACAAATGAGAGAAGGCGTAGAGCAGATGAAAGAAATATGTTGCAGAGAGAAGAAGATGAACAAGTTGTCACAGCAGTGACTATGCTTGATGAAGAGAACCAAGGTCGCCGCCGTGGGTTAGAAGTCGGCCGTCGCCGGAATGTGGACAGACATAGGCAGTCTCGGGGTAAGAATCTTTTGGAAGATTATTTTATCCCAACTTGTTTGTACTCTGATGTTGATTTTCGAAGGCGATATAGAATGCAACCCCATTTGTTCAATAAAGTCATGCATGATATTTGCAATTATGATGCATACTTTGTTCAAAAGTGTGATGCTGCTGGAGGCCTTGGTAAGATTTTGTGATGCAGTTGAAACTCTGTACACTAGGGACTACCTGCGCAGACCTACTCCCAGGGACCTCCAACGGCTTCTACAAAAAGCCGAAGCTCGAGGATTTCCAGGAATGATTGGCAGCATCGACTGCATGCACTGGCAATGGAAGAATTGCCCAACTGCCTGGCAAGGTGATTACGGAAATAGAAAAGGCCAAAAAAGTATCATCCTTGAAGTCGTTGCTTGCTTCGACACATGGGTTTGGCATACCTTCTTTGGAGTAGCTGGATCCCAAAATGACCTCAACGTGCTGGGTCAATCCCTGGTCTTCAACGATGTTTTGAGAGGCCAAGGCCCCAATATCACCTATCAAGTCAACAATACAGTCTACCAGACGGGGTATTATCTAGCTGACGGCATCTACCCGAGGTGGACCACATTTGTCAAATCCATTCCGAATCCCCGATCCCAAAAGCAAAAATTATTTGCTACCTATCAAGAAAAATACAGGAAAGATGTTGAAAGATGTTTTGGCATCCTTCAAGCTCGGTGATTGATTATTCGAGGTGCAGCCCGTATGTTTGATGAGGAGGTCCTCAGAAGCATTATGATGACGTGCATCATCCTCCATAATATGATTGTGGAGGATGAGTATGATTATGAAGCTACAGAGGTCTACGAACTGGATCCCATGAACATGGCCTTGACACGAATTTATGAAAGGCCCATGGGGCCAAGTGGAGAACCGTTTGAGCCAGATCCGTTGGTTAGGATGGTCGTTTCATGACCCGTATGATAGATCGATATACAGAGATGCAATCTTCGTATATTCATGAAAGGCGTCAACTTGA